CTTGTTCCGATACATCACGCCGGACAGTTTCATTTGTGATCTGTGGCACTGTGGTACCGAGAAATCGTGCCAGATACATATTTTCAGGAAATTTCTATACAGAAATATATCGATTTTCCATGTTATAAGTTATTAACACCCATAATACAGTTGACAACAATGTTTTATTCTATTCCGACATATTTTAGGACAGTTTCACACAATATGATACAGATGTACGAGGAGGTAGCACATCTGGTTTTTACCTTAGTTTGTTTGCACATCAAAGAGTATTGGTAAAGTTAATGTATGTCCATCTCTTTACATAAGGCAGACACGCCCAGTCTACTGTTGTGTACAGACTAGAGTAGATACCTTTAACCTCAATTGTTTTTGCCTGTTGTTATATTGTTTGACTTTATTGAATTATTGACAGTTACACGAGTCACCACCCACTCAATGACAGTATTGATGTTAAAGTGTATGTTTACCTTACCATATACCTAGGCCCGGATACTCAAAGCTTAGTTAGAGTAAACCAGAGGTTAGGGGAAAAGTAAAAATAGGAATACTAAAAACAATCAAGAACATTTGATGTTTCTTCATCGCTATAGATATGTTGAGACAAATAAGATTAATGAATTTTGAGAATTCATTTTGCTACGACAGTTCTTGCCTAGTATTTACGATAATTTTGAATTTTTCACTAGCCATTGGTTAAAGTTAACTATCCTTTGAGTAGCTAGGGCCGATACTCTGCTGGATTCGTGTTGTATAGGTTGTCATAACCTTAATTAAACGTTCAATCACATTTGAAAATCCAATCGCTTGAAACATTTGCGGAATCATGGGTACTTGTGTGTATATTTTATCTCAGTGTGACTCATTCAGCCAATAAAGTATTGAGAAACCGAAACTTGTTGTATGAAGCTTAAACACGTCTTCAGTTTCTATCAAGTGATTTTTATAAAAGGCTTTCGGTAAAAGTAAAAATATGACGTATATTATTTGTTGATGATGAGCCATATAATAATGTGTGTGCTAAATTTTAGTTTTCATAATTGAAATAAAACTAGAATTCTAAAATTTAATTCTAAATATGTGTTAAAGCTTATGCCCTAGTAAGAAGTTGAGTCGGGTTAATATGATAGAATCAATAATGATTCGTGTACAATGGCTTCCAACATCGGCGGTTTCTTTGATGTCCCTAACAGATCGATTGTACGTGCTAAAAGAGGATGCCTTTGAATTTAGCTATTTTCATTCAGTGAATTGTTATGTAAATTTGTAGTAAATTTTAAATGTAAAATGATACTTAGTCGTGTGAGCTGTACTGAGTATTCTCCCTTGAAATCGATATCGAGAACCTATTTGTTATATATTTAAGAAAATTAATTAAGTCGCCTAGTACTAATATTGATTGACGTATTGGTAAGACGTATCGATATGGTAAACACGGCTAGTATTTTGGTCAATGTTTTGAATGTTGTTGCACTTCATCGCCCGATGAGTATTGACTTTATACACAGCAGGAGATATCCAAGAAATGTTCATGAGAAATTTAGGAAAGCTGAGACCTGTGTAAGTTTGCTCAGATACTGAATTTAATTAATAAATATACGCTTAAAGAAAGAATATATGCGTTTTTGTGAAATCAAATCTTTGAAAACGTTGTTTTAAGCTGTCTTTTAAAGAAGTATGTGCGAAAATTTAGTGGTCTATAGTTGTATGTTACTATGAACTATTTCAGACAGTGAGATATGGGTCATGTATTGGATTTGTTTGAAAAGTCACATGACCCCATTCTTCGTGGAAAATCGCAAAGAATTCATGGGAACGTTATTTATTAAGATTAGATTAGATATCTATTTCAATGGAAAAATGGAATAAAGTCTCTGTTTTAGTTCAAATCGTCCATTCAACTTTAAATGTTTTGACGAAGGACTCAAACACTTGTGATCTTTTCAAAAACTACTGGTAAAAACGGCGATTTAGGATTTGATCTTAGGTGAATGAGAGAGATCCCCCCATTTTTTCTTTTTACCCATAGTCCACTGAGAAATCAGGCAACTGAACCTCAAGAAATATATTGTCCATCAGGAACTCTTTAGGACCATTTAGCATGTCCTTTGTCGTATTCATTGCATTTTTACAAAGTAGTTTATCGAAGTTTGCCTTTCTCGGAAAAGAAGCTCTCACAATCAAGAACGGCATCTTCATTACTTCATTATGATTAAGAAAATATGAAAATAAGATATTTGTTTCCCAGCTTGACTTTGTCCACATGTGCAAAGAAATAAAAGTACACGAATTAGTTTTTCAATTGTCATGGACTCTTCAGTGGATATTTTGGTAACAGGAAGCAGCACATTTTTATGAAAAGCTCCTATTGTTTCAATGTTTGAAGCATTAAACCATTGAGCCTAGTTTTATATTATAGGTCTTTACTTAAATTAATGATTAAGGGAGAAGTGCTTCACCCTGTTGCAGACAGTGAGCACATATTATAATTACAAGGAGTTTGCATGCTACAAGGCGCTTCACTGTAACCTTTCTTTTTATTTCTAAATTATTGACATTTAAATTGGATCTCTTGTATGTCCTTCTGTTGCAAGGATGTTATATTGAGCTTTTGTCTTTCAAAGCTCCCATGTAATTACTTTTTGTTTTGTAAATATCCGTTTTTTAATATGATCTGAAGTGTTTGCATCATTTTCAAATTAAAACAGAGAGAACCGACAATCTAAAGTTTACACTCTAATAGTATATGATACTCCTGCTTATTTAAACACGATCTTTTTTCGACCTGTTCAAATCGACCCGGTTACCATAGTACCCAGCAATGCCTAGTTTTGAATAAGAAAATCTATTCTTACTCAGTGTATTTGACCAACTGTAACAAGGGAAAAAACGAGTTCAATACTGGTCAAAATTTAAATGTACATTTTGTTTAGAGTTAGGACGTATTTTTTGTAGTAATCCATGACAACGTTGGGAATCCAAAGCAAAGCAGATTAGTATTCCTGAAGCGCATCACGTGGTAAATCGAACATTTAACTTTAGACAAAAAAAAGCTAAAAAAAAAATGTATTTTTTTTGTATTTACACATTACTCTAAGCACCTTATGTCTCGACAAGATACAGTTATATAAAAATAGGTTACAACAGACTTCACGACCTTATGAAATAAAATAAAAATTGTCGTTGTTCTGAGTTTTAATTGACTTTATCATTACCAACTACTTCATATTGACTTACACAAACCAAGCTTATAACGGTGATGTCTTTTCATTTGTCCTTTGCATTGGTTATACACTGCGTGTTAAGCCAAATACTTTCGTACGTGCAAAATTCAAAATACCTTATCGTCTAGGTTTTTTTCTTTAAAAGTTAACAGCAATGCAAAATAATATTACATGTAAATAAACAAAACTATGATGGTAATATTTTTTAAAAGAGTCGTTATAAAACACATTAGGTGGATGTTTTTAGTAGTGTCGCATATCTTGGGTATTTATTTTGTTATGCTTTATAATATTTGCGCCTAAATTTTCATATACTGGACACATGAATCTTGGAGAGAATAACGATATAGAATTGCATTTCAAATAAGATAAAGCCGATTAAACTTGTTGTAATAAAATTAATCTGTTATTTTATTGGAAGTTTCTGATCTGCTTTCTGTTTTTAATTGGCTTTCTCCAGTAACCAATGACCAATAACAACACTTATTGGTTGTGTAACAAGAACATTTTCATTATCTCTCTAGTTTATGGATGATTATACTTTCTTTGCTTGCCATCAAAACGTTACGGTTGTTCTATCAATCGTTGTATAATAGGTTTAAGGAATGAAAAACAATAGATGATGTTCATGTTTGTACTTCCTACTGCGATAATACAATATATAAAACAACTAAAAACGTCTGAAAGACATAAATGCCCCCGCTCATGGATGGGACGCGAAGCGACGCAACGCGACAGGACGGGACGGACATGGGCGGGGACATAACAAGTAGTAGACATCACTGCATCAATTATAAGCTTGAAGAAGAGTTCCATTGTTTTCGACTTCGAGAATGCTCCCATATAAAAAGATATGAAGCGACAAATATGAGGTTTCTGGCTTAATGCTATTAATGACTTCACCCCCCGTTTTGAGTAGGAGTAGGCATGGCATGATGTAAGTCGCAAGCAATTTCTGTAATTTTGGTTTTCAATTAATTAACTTTAAACGACTTTATTCCATAAAATTCATGGCGAGACGTAATTCATATTGTACAATACTGCGGCACGTCAATTTGTAACCGATAACCGATATTGCAATGCCAGATGGTTATCATTAAAGACAAACAGTAGCAAAAAAAACCATTGTTTTCTCCTTCATTCGATCATATCAATGTCTATGTTATGTTTAAACAATAAGTTATAAAAAAGTAATACGGACAGTAAGTGAAAACAATTCATGTATGCTGATGTTGTTTTGGCTATACAAAATATCCCGACAAATTGTATAACTAATAGCTTTCCTTATCATGCTGTAAAATCAAATTACATCCTATGTATAAGCAATAAATTTACACATGACTGTAAGCGAAATGTATCGTTTCCGATAATCAATTAACCAGGAGTTCATGTTTAATTAAAACAATGAAAATGGTAATATGATTAGGATACAAAACATGATGTTATAAGAAATTATTTATATATCTATATACTTATTTACCATCAAGCACACCACATCGTTAAATTTAAAGACCAATTCCAAACTAAAAAATCAAGGTAAAAAACAATAGATACTGAGGAAACATCACAGAAATGGAAAGACAAAAAAGGAATAAAATACAAAAAAAACGCACATATAAACAAACAAACAAAAAAACAAAACAAAAACATGAACCTGAGATTTCATTTAAACATTGGTTTCATCAGCCAAATTGACTATCTTCTCCACCAATAAATGTATATGACTAACAGCTTGTCAAAGCATAGTTAAACCGTAATTTATGAACCTTCTCTTACCTTTGCAGGACAGGACAAGCTTGGGGTCCTTGCGTTAGTATCACACGTGGAGCAATAATTCCACTGGGACGAATTTGTTCTATAATACAATGTTTGTCGGTAAACTCACTCAGATAGACTTGTACTTTCTATTACACGAGAGCTATTGATTCCATCTTCTCCTGTTATTGAAGTTGAGTCCATCCTTAGAGTCGACTACCAGCCACTCGATAAAAACGTGTTTATTCAACTGAGGTACCAACCGTTATTACACAGCTAAACAAATCTATTGCGGAGGGCTTGTTTGTGTCATGTGTATCCATGTCCGCGTTCCATATTAGCTCATGGTTATTCTCATCAACCATATGTCAGTGCCCTGCCACCCGGACGCAATAACATCTTGTCACAGGAGAGGCATATGCTTTTAAACGACCCTGACCAATCCGAAAGAGGACCCCACAGTAATAAGCACTTAAAGTATATGTAATCCACGTGCACAGTTTAAAGGCAAAGCCACGCGCTGTATCAATCCTTATCATGCAGCGCTTTGTGTCGTTTTACTTAATTTACTTACATAATAAGTTTCATGGAGTCTCATTAATAATCTGACGCGGATGTCGGCTGTTTGAGTAGCTCTCATAACATTAAGTGAGTGTCCCAGGGAAACAGGAACGATATATATAACCAGGTAACTAGCTAACCAACAAATCATAGTCTATCAACATTAAATTATAATACACATCTATCGCTTCGCCCTTCATACCTTATCAATAGACACAAAATCGTTTTTCTGTTATCCCATTAATAATAGGAGGATAACTTGTTCACACGAGCATAGGCGACGCTGGTAGAGATTAATCAATATTATATTTGATAATCGATGCAGATCAATACTGTGTAATTACGGTTAACTAGAATGACTTTTCATTGTATGAAAACAGTTTTATAATTAATTCAGTACCTAGAAAGTTACAAATCATCGTGTGATTTCAAAAGAATGCTGTTAAAGGCTTAAAGTACAGGAATAAGGGGAAATTATTGCAGGCGAGAGTAATTCGTTAATGTTTAAGATTGCTAGTTCAACTTATAATGGCTCTTTTCAAAGACACTAAACTTGACACACAGATGATATAAAACTGAATTACAGTTTTTTAAGTTCTTATTCAGATATATTTTACATAGCAAAAGATAATAAACAAAAGTTTACAAAATGTTAAGCATTTTGGACAGAAACTACTCATTTAATTCATTATTTAAATTTGAATAGTTCGCATTCATATGCGTCTTGTTAATATTGATTTTGGACAACGAGGTCATTGGGACAATTCTATGCAGCAAGCGTTTACGTTTATACATCAATAGTGGCATTCTTTGACAACGTTTTTAAAGCTGTCTGACGAGCCAGCGAACAACACGATCACCGATGACTAACGCTGACCAGAATTCGATCATTTCCTTTCAGACATTCGAGAGACGAAGCATATATTTATTATGTCTCTCTGGTCATTCCAACAACTTGGGGTTGCTTTTAAGATATTGTCCTCACTGCTAATGGCTTGCGTGATTGTTCCGGCAACCGTGAAGATTTCTGTAGGCTGGCGCGATCGTTATTGTACCAGCAACCAGGACATTTCAAACCTTCCACATTTGATAGATTTCTAGCGTTGCTGCTATGTTCGGTATTATTTAATATCATTTACATGTTTATATCATTTAAACATAATAAAATGAACTTATGCGTTGAAAAACACACAAAAAACAGCCGACATGTCAGCCAGTCCAGATAAGCTCTCGACTCTGTAAAAACTTGACGTCAACGAAATGTGTCAATTCAAACAATGTACCGTTTATATTAATATACACTAATGAGCAACAGACTGTGGCGCAACTTGAACTCCCATGTATTATTACAGTGTGATTGGATGTAACCGAATAGCGATTGGTTGACGGCCTGTCAACAGGAATTCATGGTTCGTATAGCATTTACTATATTTGCCGAGTAGTTTAAGGGGAAAGTGTTAAAGGAAGGTCTAAGATATGATAGGGAGTGTAAAGGTCTAAGATAAGATAGGGAGTGTAAAGGTATAAGATATGATAGGGAGTGTAAAGGTATAAGATAAGATAGGGAGTGTAATGGTATAAGATATGATAGGGAGTGTAAAGGTCAAAGCTAAATTAGGTAGTGTAAATGTCTAAGATATGATAGGGAGTGTAAAGGTCTAAGATATGATAGGGAGTGTAAAGGTCTAAGATAAGATAGGGAGTGTAAAGGTCTAAGATGAGATAGGGAGTGTACAGGTATAAGATAAGATAGGGAGTGTAAAGGTATAAGATAAGATAGGGAGTGTAAAGGTCTAAGATACGATAGGGAGTGTAATGGTATAAGATATGATAGGGAGTGTAAAGGTCAAAGATAAATTAGGTAGTGTAAATGTCTAAGATATGATAGGGAGTGTAAAGGTCTAAGATGAGATAGGGAGTGTACAGGTATAAGATAAGATAGGGAGTGTAAAGGTATAAGATATGATAGGGAGTGTAAAGGTCTAATATACGATAGGGAGTGTAAAGGTCTAAGATATGATAGGTAGTGTAAAGGTCTAAGATATAATAGGTAGTGTAAATGTCTAAGATAAGATAGGGAGTGTAAAGGTATAAGATATGATAGGGAGTGTAAAGGTCTAAGATACGATAGGGAGTGTAAAGGTCTAAAATATCATAGGGAGTGTAAAGGTCTAAGATATGATAGGGAGTGTAAAGGTCAAAGATATAATAGGTAGTGTAAATGTCTAAGATATGATAGGGAGTGTAAAAATCATTTACCTCACACGTTTTTTCTGTTATATCTGCTGACGTTATACGCATATTTTATTTATCGTAAAAAGGCTTTAGGTTATATAGACGAATACAGTACGTAATATATTTGTGTGTGCAAGATGCAAGGTAACTCCGTCACTGTTCTGATCTACTTGATGGATGCATTGGTGTTTTCAGGAATCGAAATCCTCGAAAGCAATCCAATCAATTATGTTAGTACATTATGTTTAATATGCATTGATAAACCATTCAAAATGAGTCTACGAGACGAGTGTGAAATGAAGTAGTGAACTACACTGGTGTCATGCAATCGAAGAGATAGAATAGCAATTATTTGCCATGAAAATCACCGTATTGGGTTAAAGATATTTGGCAACCTTTAGTTCCAATGCCATGTGTTAAGAATAAATACTTGTTAATTGTTCGATCGCAGTCATTCTTACTTAAAAAACGGAATTATTTAAGTATGTTTCAATCAATAAAAAATGTAAGGGTTTCAAACGGAAATTGATTGATTTCAAGAAAAGCGTTTCTTTGTATTTGACATTTGAACTTTGGTGTAAAACTGTGTCATTATGTTAGGGACAGATATGTATGATTAATGACTATTCTATGTCACACTTTCCATTGAAATCTACAAAAAAGGTGACAATGTGCTAAAGCAAAACCGATTACATTCTTTAATATCTATTTCATCTTTGCACCTTAAGCAGCGTTCAGTGTGAATGAACAGCATTGTAACAACGATTAAATACCTTAATCTATTCATTATACCACAGGAAATGCGCCACTGAAACCATTTTGAAGAGTATGGACGATTAATCATCGAATGTATTTATCAACACCTTGAATATTTCATTGATATCAGACTGGTAAGGTTAATGTTTAACAGTACCGATAGAAGGAATTAATCGTTACAGTAAACCTTAATGCATAATTAAAAAAAAAAATGTTAACTGTTCGTCTTGTAATAAACTTTCTTAACTCATGCATTGTTCAAAATATAACCGCACAAATGTTCCAAATTCACATTTACATTGTGATTTTTCAATATACACCTACTTCTATTCGGGTGGTGTTCAGAAAACGCGAACCTCATCTAATATAAATCTTTATCAACCGTAAGACTATGAGGTTGATTTCTACATAGCGTCCGTCACTACAAAAATGCAACAAAGGGATGACAGAAATATCCAAATCAACCGAATGTTGATATTTTTTATTCATTAAAACGATAATGTTAACAAAGATTAAAATACTCTTTCCTACCAATTGGCGTAGGATAGGAAAAGTCCACCCAAGGGGTTTTCAAACTGGATAGCCGAGGGTTTTGCATCAATTTGTAAAATATTGAGGGTAAAATTTCCCTTTTCTACGACACGTGGCATGAAAGCGTACTTTTCTCCCATTTCAACCCATAGAATCAGCTCAGAAACCACAAAAAGAGTCATCGCAATTTCCGCATCGCGGCATCGCAATATTTCCGATTTCATTGTTGTCCCATTGTGACGTCACGCACGTGAAATGGGATGTAAGATAGAATTTCGTACACCCTTTCTTACCCTGGACAGTTCTGCCATATACGCACTCGATGAGATTTTTTTTTATGTTTCTAAACTGTCGCAGCGGCGTTTTAATTTTCGTCCTGGTGGAAAACAGACAGTTAACTATCTAGCTATATACATTCAACGATTTGTTTGACGGGTTTATGTCATTTGTAGTTCTAAAAATCAGGGCATTTTAAACTCCGTATCGGTTTGATTTTAAATAAGTGAAACTGGGATCAATACAATCCAAAAGTGGTAATAAACAAACAAGATAGGGATTAATTGTTGACGCAGAAATATTGAATAGAAAATTATTATAGTTTGTAAACAACAACGGCCCATTCATGAATAAAACAAACTACATTTGTTTATAAAATAAGGCTTGGTTTAATTTATTCACGGCATTTTTTCGATGCCCGATTAATGTATAACAATATAATACCAATATAATACCAAACATTAGATAATTATATATATTCTACCACGTCAATCTGTATCGAAATGCGATTGGTTGTATTCCTAAGTACAAGTGACAAGGATCATCAAGTTTTATTCTTTTTCATGCAAACATTTATCATTTTTTCATGTTTAATGTGGAATATAAGTGGAGATGGTTAGATATTTACATGCATGCGTGTACCCTAAATCGAAAAATCAAACTTGTTCAAAGCCAGTCAAGAACAGGTTATCGGTTTACATTACCAAAACAAGAGAGGCTTTAGAAATAGTTTTGCATGTGTATGGTCTATTGGGACAAAAACATGGTGAATCCGTGTTCTCTTTTATCCAATAGCACAATTTTATGAAGCAATGAAATGCGACCATACGTTAGTAGAGTCAAATATATAGATCTATAAATTTTTAAAAAATGTACAGAATTATATTTCAAACTAGAAAAAACAAACTTAATCAAATATGGCTATGGCCTTCAACAACTAAATATCCCAGACATTGAAGATAAATTTCAAATGGCATCATATACCTGATTTATTTGGGATTTCGTTTGTTGT